ATGTCGTATTGATCTCTATTAGGGTTGTATGTTACTCTTGATGCCCAAAATCGTGCTGTTTCATAGATGAGATCACCGCCCCTTTCTGATTTTAACCAATTTTGATCGCCTGTTGCAGCAACGTATTGTCTTGCAGCAAAAGCAATATCACCGGTGATGTGCATTTGATAAAGACGAACTTCTGGACAACAATCTGGAGTTACATCAACACCTGTACGAGCACTTTCCCAAGGAAATCTAAAATTAGATATGAGAAAGAAAAATTAAGGATTATGACTTTTTTACCTCCATCCTTCATATCCAAAGAGAGGAGCATTGTCAGCGGCTGCTTCACGCAAACCAATGCGATATGAAAGTATCTCTTTGGCCAGTCTAAAGATAAAAAAAATTATTACTATTGTAAAAATGTATCGTTTTTTTTCTATCGAAATTTTCAAATAAATTTGTTCAATAACTAATACTCAACTTACGTGGGATAAAAGAGAAGAACAGATGGATACATCCAAGTTTCTGTATCCCAAAACGAATGACCACCATAATCTTCACCTAAAAGACCACCACGAGATAGAGTACCTGGACTAAGACCATAGAATTGTTTGGGTTCACTTTTTGTTGATAGTGGTGGTAGTGAACTAAGAAGATAATAATAAGCAGAATTAATTTGTCGTTGTAGTTCAACATCGTCGCGAACTTCAATACGTCCATCAGACCAAACTTTCTTCCAAAGATCCGCATGAGCTGACCATAATTGATCAGGTTGTCGTTCAGTTGATGCTATTGATGAGAAAAATAAAAATTCTTTTGTTAAATCTTACGAAGACGCTCTATAACAAAATATAATCATTAAGATAGCCTACTTAACTATACACTTTTAGAATTAGAAATCGAGTTGTCAAGAATAAAATTTTGACTACTTTCACGTTTAATTAGACAATAGATTTTTAATCTTAATTTACCATAATCAAAACTTCGTTTGGCTCTAGCTTGATCTGTATCGAGCGAAGTAACGAAGAGATAGGTTCGAGCAGATTCTTCTGCATCAAGTTGAAGACCATTGAAGGGTAACGGTGTGTAGTATATAAATAAGGGTAATACATCTTGTTGATATTGACTATTTTCTACTTCACGTGTCTTTCCGGATAAAAGTCTTTAAATAAAATAAAATAAATTCATGTTGAATTAATACACAATACTTACACATGCTTATCATCGCGAAACACAACATCAAAGTTGAAATCAGCACTAGTCAATGTTTCAGTTACTTCGACAGGTACAACAATTGTTTGTTCTATAATAATAGAGTAAGATAAGAAGAATGATTATATTATTTCAAAGATCAAACTTTTGGATGTTGCTCGTGTGATTGTTACATGAGTGAGAAGTAATTCCGTGTACTCCTGTGAGGCAAAAATACGACGTTCAATTCGAACTATATCATCCTCAAATCGTTCAGTAAATGTACCTATGAATACATCAATATTTTAGATATTCTTCATTCTATATCAAAATTCTCACATGTTTCAACATCAAGTGAATAGGATGCTGATACTCGTTTTGTATTGAATTGCCAATTGTGTGTACTTGGAATACGAGCTCGATGACTTGTACCTATTTCAAATATACAAAAGTATAACTCTTAATAAAATATTATTATTAATAAACCATTTTCTCCGTTATAGAGTCCATTCATATAGATAAAATCACTAAAGACAACTGTAGCAATATGACCATTACCCACATATGGCATGATACGATAATCGATGGAAGTACCATTCGAAGGTAATCTACATATAATCATTATTTAAACAAAGACAATGCGAATAATTACTTACTTATCCGTAGTAAAAACTGTGGTTGAAATGGGTGAATTGGTCGTAGTAAAAACTGTGGTGGAAACGGGTGAATCGGTCGTTTTCTTACGAGTTAGAATAAAAACAGGAATGAGAACAGCGGCGAGAATTACTATGATAATAAGTATAACAACTGCTGCAATTAATATCTTCTGCCGTTTAGTATATGGTCGATTAGTACATGGATTAATATTACAATCGCATGCACATAGTTGTTGAAAAAATGTTCCTTCTTTATTTTTATTCAATGACATTGCACTCTATACAATGTATTTTGTTCTATTGAATTGTTAACGGATCTTTTATAACGAGTTATATACCTAACAGAAGGCTTTTACATTTTTATTACTCTTTCACTTTATCTTTCTTTCGTTTTTATAGAAGATGGTAAAGAGAGAGAAAAAATCAAGAAATAATATACATAGATACATATATAATCTAAAGGAATGCGGTGTGTTTGACAATATCATAAACGACTATTTTATTTGATTGAAAAAAGAATCAAGATATATGCTTCTACCTATATTATACTTTCTGCTCATATTATAAAAACTATCGTCAGAAAGGTATATTATTCAGCAAGAAAAAAATTTAATATTCTCGAGCTCATATATATGATTTTACGTGATAAATTTATATATTTTGTAACAAAAATGAGTAAGTTTTTATTGAATAAAAGAAAATATATATGAATTGTTTTCGAATAATGAGGCTTACCAAAAAATAGAATGATAGAATATATAAAAAGTCTAATAATCTTTATATTAAATATTTGAAGAAAATTTTATTATCGATACATAATGAATAAATGTAAATATTGTCACGAATTTTATCTATCATAATCATATTCTAAAGATTATTACATGATAGGCTCATTTTTTTTCTTATATATTTTCGAGTAAGAAAGTAATAAAATATATTCTGTTCTAATTCCATCACAAATCTTCATTCATTGATTTTTTTCAAGGAATTAATACCACGGGTAAGAAAAAAATAAAGTGTGCCATGTTGTTCTGCAGGCTTTAGCTTATTATCCATGGCACCTACTACCATATTATCATTGACATAACGAAAATGATCGATAATAGGGTAATTATCATATATCATTGCAGTTGATATTTTACCACGAAACTTAATTTCACGTAACTAAGCAAAGAATTCATAAAATAATGAAACAAAAAAGTTATTTGAATTAGATGTAAAAATAGTTCACCTGTGCATTACCATATTCTTTGAGCCAAACACGTTTGCCAACTTGATCATATATCATTACTGCGTCTACATCGTTTTCTGACTTGAATGTTTCGCCTGCCCAATTCATTTTCTTTAACATTTCAATACCTGAATGACCGGTATCAAGACATCCACCATCCCATTCACCACCATCTTTACATAAGAAACTAGGTTCAATTGGTCTTAACTGATCATAGAGTTGTGTAACAGTGTCGGCATCGATTTTTCCGTTCTGTTGAGTGAGTTTTAAGAATTCTTCTTCAGGATTGCTGCAAATATAATTATACATGAAAGAAATTTCATATAAACATACCTTGACATATTAACACGTGCAAAATTTATCTATAAATTAACGTAAAATTGTAAATAATGTTTACTATTTCATGTAACAAATAGTTGCTGTTATATTATCTACTCATTTTACAATAAAAATATATCACAGACGAGGTAGAACCTTTGTGTTGTAATTCAACTTTGATCCTTGATATCTTTACTAATCAAACTAAACTGATTCAGATGTACATGTGTGCAGAACGAAAAGGTGAATGATATATTTTATTTTTGACTTGATCCAATATGTGATTTGCGTTATCCATAGACATACATAATTACCTAAAAGATAACCTCCTCTTTAAACATTAGAAACATGTTTTAACTGGCCGTATGCGATCAATTACCTTATCGTTAGAGAGAAGTCTTTGTTGTCAAGCTTGTCTCTGTTTATATATTGTTCTCATTTCTTTCTTTCATTGAAAAAAGCTTAAATCTATACTACTAATTTAATGTAGTCGCAAGCATAATTCTAGTATTGATATACTCTTTTTTTATTTTTCTCTTATTTATAAGATATTATATAACAATCAAGATTTTTATATTTAAGTATATTTCAATATGATTCTATGTTTATTTAGGAATTGTATTTTTTTAAAATCTACTAACGATACTATTTTTATTAAATTATTATATATCTTTTTTCTCTAACTCTTCGTTTTCTTTAATGAATCGATTAATACAATATTTAATATATAATCATTTTGTATTATGTCAATAATATGCACTATACAATTCTCATTGTTTTTAAAAAGAGAAATGATTATTTTATAGTCAAACATACTTTACAGGCGTTTTTTTAAGCAAGAGGAATGATAAAAGTATATATGTGTTTGATCATTATTCTATTCTTTATATTCTCTAAGATAAAAGTAAAGGACGATATCTTTTAAGTAAAAGAAAAGATAATAGTATGTCCAGGGTCATTTTCAAATAAATAAGAATTTATTTCTAGCCTACAAAGATATATTCTTTTATTCATTTTTCGTTGTCTACGAGCAATATCAATTACAATGATAAAAATAAATACAATTAATTCAAAAATCTTTTTCTTTTATTAATTATTATATCAAAAATAATATAAAATAAAAAAAAAACGAAATATTTTCTATTATAAATTTTCGTATACATATATATGATAAACAAAATATGTATTGCATTCGATCATTAAGTGCACTTGCGAACGTACGATAGAAAAAAACATCAATCAAACTGTATATACATATACATTCGATAGTACGAACGAAGAAGTGAAGTGTGCATACGTGAAGAACGCAAAGTAATAATAAGCAAATCACATGGCTGATGAATATGATGCAACAACACTCGATGGTTATATAGATGATGATTTAGCATTAATTAAAAATACAAATGTATGGGAAGAATATAAACATGGTGCACATCATAATGATGATATATGTTATGTTTATAAAACTCCAGATGATCCTATTTGGTGGATTAAATTAGTAGCATACATAGATGATGGTTCATTAGCAAATATTGATGATTTACTTGATGCTAGTTTGCAACAACGTCATTCTGAATGGCATGCACTTTATTTGGATGGTAGAATTGTTCGTAAGAATGATGATGGTCGTAGTGAAATTTGTTATTTTCAGTAGGATTTTATTTAAAAAATTTTATTTTGTACTTTTTTTTCTTCTTGAAGATATGCATCACCATCAATACTAACTTCTGGTCGTGATATGTGTTACATTAAAGTACGACGTAATCTTGACAATGGATTTATTCTTAGTTATCGATCAGTCGACATACCCGAAGCAATTGATTCAAGTGGTAAATTTGTACGAGCAACGTATAAAGGTGCACATCTTATTGAAACAAGTAAAGATGCACCTGGTTTTCTTTATACATATTTACAATATGCAGATCCAGGTGGTAGTATTCCAAAAGTATTAGTTAATCGACCTCAATGTGATATTATTCTTAATGAAATTGACGGTATTCGACGTGCTTTAAAAAATTCAATACATTCTAAATAATAAAATCTTAAAATTTATATTTGAAATCTTTTTTGTGTTGAATTAATACACAAGAGAATATTATCATTCTTTCAATGCCATTAGTTTTAGTTTTTACTTCGAATTAAATTTCACATCGCGTTATTAACTAGAAGTACAGATATGCAACAGAACTCTTTCGAATAAATCAAATTAAACAATAGCTGATAGTTTCTTAATATTACGTTTATGATATTTATATTATTAAAATATCTCGATATATTCTTCTCATTACTAACATAAATTCTATTTTGCTTTTTATCTATTTCAACAAATTGTATATTACAGTTTACGAATTGCTATAGAGAACAGATCATAAATAACAGTGTAATAAAAAGTTTTATTATCTCCACTATGATTTAATCAAATGAACCGATTTTTTTTATACTGATAATGTAAGTTAACTTGATGAAAGGATTTTGAACTGTTGTTAAACAAGACAAATCCATTATATAGATAATTTTCAATTGTTACCTGAGAGAATGAGAAGACGAAATGAAAACAAACTTTATGTCTGATATTATACTGATGTACGTAGAAAAAATAATTCAGAATTATTTTATTTAAAGTCTACAGTTACAATAATTTTAATTGAGCTTTTTAGTTATCGACACGAATTTCAGATTAACTAGTTTCGAAATTTTTCTCTATTCACATCAGTATAATATCATACATAAGGTTTGCTTTTATTTCTTCTTCTCATTCTCTCAGGTAACAATTGAAAATTATCTACACAATGAATTTTTTTACTTAGCAACAGTTTAAATTTCTTTCTTAGTAAATAGTAATTTTTACTTCCATTATTTGTATGAAAAAAAATCAGTCCAGTCGATCGTTAAGATACCTATTGTAAAAATAATCATGAACACATGATAGGAGTATTATGATTCATGAATTTACAAAGATTAGTATGAAAAACAACAAAACTAGTTTTCTATATTTCATATCCAAGAAAGAAATAGGAAAATTAATTATTAAATACATAAAATACGATTAATTTCTGTTTCATCACATCCATTGATCAAGTGATTCAACATATTTCATACAGTTTATTTAGATTACAACATATGTATAAATCATCTCGAGAAAGAGAATAGAACGGATTTCAACCGTAACGGTCATTCATTGTTTTATAATATACATATGTATATAATGATACTTTTAATTTTATTTTGTTTGACTATATACAATGAGATTTTAGTTTCATTGTAGGTAATCTTATTATAATTCGAAAAAAAAAATGTTACATAAGTTCTTTAAAAGCGGAAAATAGTTCTCATCAAATTTTTTTTCTCTCGAAATAATGTCTCGTATACTCGTTAAAATATATCAAGATGGTGTACTTCAGAAGGCATGATGTCTTAGAACATAAATCTTAACTTCTCAAGAATTGAATATGATACTTATTGAAATTTTCTAATATCTTAAAAAAATCTTTTTTTTTGCATATATCATCATACATATGTACAATAATTTCTCTATGTAACAAGAAAAATGTCATAAGGTAAAAAAGTTATATTCTCGTATTTGGTTATTATTTTTCGTCACGCATCAATGTATAAAATGATGTCATTTGACAAGTAATATAACATGTGATTTTTGTTTCTCCGTTTAAATAATATTTATTCATGTTTTTTTTTTATAAATAAAAATAAAATTGTTGATATATTAAATATGTTGAATGTAAAATAAAAATATAAAATTCGAGTTTTAATATTAGTTCTAGATATTGATGAGGAATATTATCTTTAAAAAAAATTTAATCGGAAAAAAGTATATCACTTTTCGTTCGTTTTTAAATGACACGTTGCTATATGTTATATACACTTATAGCAAGAACCATGTTCATATAGAAGAAAAGATGATTAAAATAATGTAGTCAAGTAGATGTTATAAGTAATGTTCAAATGTTTATCACTGTTGCTGTCAATGCTTACGTTGACTATATATGAAATGAGCGGAAGCATTTTTTTCTCATCGGACACATGTGTTTATTGAGCGTATAAATGAAGTCATTAGTTAATATCGTCATCTTTTTTTT